ATCTTTTTCCTTCTCCTGAATTCACATCTTGGTTAACAGCACTGAAATTTACACAGATGTCGCAACTCAAAACTTTCTCAATTACCCTTAACTCTTCTCTGCCCCTCTCTCAACACAGCTAATCAGTCTCTAGACTCTATTTTGCCTTTTTCGATTGTACAGAGTCTGACTGATTGGGCTCAACAAGGCTTTGGTTTTTTTAAATTTTTTTATTTTTTAAACTTTATTGGGGAACAGTGTGTTTTACCAGGACCCATCAGCTCCAAGTCAAGTCGTTGTCTTCAATCTAGTTGTGGAGGGCGCAGCTCACTGGCCCATGTGGGAATCGAACTGACAACCTTGGTGTTACGAGCCTGTGCTCTAACCACCTGAGCTAACCATCTGCCCTCTCAACAAGGCTTTATGAAATACCTGTTCTTATGAATTTGCACCCTCATCTCCACTCCCACTGACCTCTAATTTCTTGCTTAAACCACTTAAATGGTTTCCCTGTGCCAGGAATCTCTTTCCTCCACTAGACTTTCAAACTGCTTTCAGATGTCAAGCCAACTGAAAAAAAAAATTTTTTTTTGTAAAGAAACAATTCAGTATTTATTTTATAGAGTTGAACTGGGCACAAAGTAAAGTAAGCTATAAAAATTCCAAATAATTATCTCTAAAGGAATTCCTTTGTTTACATGGTTTTACATATTAATTACTCTGGAAAGTTTCTGAACTCTGTTTACTAGCAGATCTCCTTTCTTGATAGTTTCTTGGTACTGCCAGTTCTTGCTATCAGGTATGTTGGTTTCCACTATTTCATTCACTTTATCTATTTTGCAGTGTAGTCTCCCAGCAGCAATAAATCTGGAGAGTTCCTGATCAATGAATTCCACGCCAACGGCGAAGGCTTCTGCCATATAGCCCAGGGTTAATGATCTGTACGATTCCAGCAGCTGGCTGTACGCATGGATTCTCATCTCTCTCACATAGTACCGATAGTGAGGAGCAAAAAGCCAGTCATTCTTCATTTCCTGTTCCACAACAGCTAATGATTGGAAGAAAGCCGAGTAACGACATTCATAGAGTGAAAACAGATACTGCCGAACTGCTGGAAGACTGTGCAACACTTCAAGAATCTCTGCTCCTTTAATAACCTTCTCCCTGAGATCTGGTCTTTCTAAGGCGATCATGCTGACATACACAGTGTACGTCACAAAGGTTTTATAATCCATGAGCTCATAGGATGTGAATGTTGAAACAGTGTCAAGGAAGAGTTCCGCNGAGTGGGAGAACTGGCCAGTGCTCCATGAGGAGGCAGGCCCACGGAGAGATGAGGGCCCATTCTGCTGAGTCCTCCCAGGTCTCTTCCTGGTGCATGCAACTGGATAAAAATGCAGATAAATGATGCACAACGTCCTCCCCCTCCGTAAGAGGAGGAGGCAATTTCCTCCCTATAAATTCCCTATAAGTGATGACATGGTGCAGAATGCACAGTTCCCTGAGAAATGAGGAGTGATGGGGTCACAGTCATGGCAGGTACCTTTGGTAATACAATATCAGGTGGGGATTTTGAAGGCACAACCTTCCCCAGATGAACCTAAGCAGAGAGTCATAACATTTTACATTTGTTTTACATTCTACAGTTTACAAAGCAAGGCTTATAGGAATTATTAGATTTCACTGATTAGTTGACTCATTAAATACACACACCCTTGCAAACACACTTATACACCTCACACATCCAAACACCTCTGTAGTTGAGTTTGGCACTGCTGACCACTGCTTACTTGGTCAGGCTCTCTTTTGTTTTTTAGAACACAGTTCCTTTCAGGGTTTTCTCTTTCTTCTCTGGTATTATTCTCAGTCTCCTTTGGACATTCTTCTTCTTTCCACAATGGTTGGGGTTACCAGGGATTTACTCTTCTTTTTTTCACTCTAGACATTCTTCCTAGAAAGTGGGATTGATATTTCCTGTAGTTTCAATAGTCATTTCTGCTAATAGTGGTATGGAGCGTGGCAAAGAGACTACCTAGTTTCTGGAATCATGGAGACTCAGATTAGAATTCTGGAACTTCTACCAATTAGACATTAGATATGATCACATATACTGTCCCAGGTCAGTTTTGTCCCTCAAGGCTGTATTCACACTTATAAAATGGGGGGGGGGTTATCCCTACTTGTTACAGTTATCATAAAGATTCTACGATTCATTCACTAAGACTTTTTGAGTAGCTATGTACTATGTACTGGATATATAGTGATAAAGCATATGTAAAAAATCCTTATACTTGTGACACTTCTACTATAATGTGAGACAGACACTGAACAAATGGGTGACTTGGTATACCACAGTGATGGGGGCTCTGAAAAGAATAAAGCAGAACAAGAATTAGCAACCTAATGAACGTGAAACAGCACAGTGTCTGGCACAGAGAAGGTGCTCAGAAAAAGTTTATCACCATCTTCTCCATTATCATCACCATCTCCTAGATCTCTGTTTCCAGACTAGACGTCTCTCTTGATGTCCACAGAGACTTCCAATGTGGTATGTCTGAACCTATATTCATCCTATTTCCCTACCTCCCAAATCCCTTATTTTTTATTCTCCACCTTGGACAATAGCACCAAAGTCACAGCTGACCATTGGCTCTTCTGCTTTGATATATATTTTGGCTCTGCCCTCTTCTCCAGCCCTCTCACCCCTGACTTAAGTTAGATCTTCAGTGTTTCTCACCTGACCACTGTGAGAACTAAGTTTGCCTTCTCTGGGTTGTTCTCCAATCTGTCCTCCACACAACTTCTGCAATGGCATGTTGGTTCCCTGATTCAATTCATTCAGTGGCTTTCTACCACCTTCTGTGGGGATAGCCCAAGTTTCTTAACCCACCCACTACTCCAGAGTCCCTACTGCTCCTGCTCCAGCTTGTTTCTCACTCATCTCCCTTTAACACTTTAGACTCCAAGACACTGAAGTATGAAGCCCTTGACACTCATTAGACTGTCTTTACCCCTGTACACCCCCACTCCTGCCATTTTCTCTCACTGCTATGCCTTTTACACACCCTCTCATCTGGCTAA